GTCGACAACCGAATACAGTACAACTGAACCGTCAACAACCAAATACAGTACAACTGAACCGTTGACAACTGGACTGTTGACAACAGAATACAGTACAACTGAACCGTCAACAACCGAATACAGTACAACTGAACCTTCGACAACTGAATACAGTACAACTGAACCGTCGACAACTGAATACAGTACAACTGAACCGTCGACAATCGAATACAGTACAACTGAACCGTCGACAACCGAATACAGTACAACTGAACAATTAACTACAAAATACAGTACAGCTGAACCGTCGACAACAAAATACAGTACAACTGAACAATCAACTATAAAATACAGTACAGCTGAACCGTCGACAACCAAATACAGTACAGCTGAACAATCAACGACCAAATACAGGACAACTGAACCGTCGACAACCAAATACAGTACAAGTGAACCGTCGACAACTAAATACAGAACAACTAAACCTTCGACAACCGAATACAGTACAAGTGAAAAATCGACGACCGAATACAGTACAACTGTACCTTCGACAACCGAATATAGTACAAGTGAAAAATTGACGACAAAATACAGTTCAACTGATCCGTCGACAACCAGACTGTTGACAACTGAATACAGTACAACTAAACCTTCGACAACCGAATACAGTACAACTGAACCGTCGACAACCGAATACAGTACAACTGAACCGTCGACGACAAAATATCGTACAACCGAGTACAGTACAACTGAACAATCAACTACAAAATATAGTTCAACGGAACCGTCGACAACCGAATACAGTACAACTGAACCGTCGACAACCGGTTACAGTACAACTGAACCGTCGTCAACCGAGTACAGTACAACTGAACCGTCGTCAACCGAGTACGGTACAACTGTACCGTCGACAACCGAATACAGTACAACTGAACAATCAACTACAAAATATAGTTCAACGGAACCGTCGACAACCGAATACAGTACAACTGTATCGGCGACAACCGAATACAGTACAACTGGACCGCCGACAACTGAACAATTGACGACAAACTACAGTACAACCGAATACAGTACAACAAAACCGTCGACAACCAAATACAGTACAACTGAACAATCAACTACAAAATACAATACAGCTGAACCGTCGACGACCAAATACAGGACAACTGAACCGTCGACAACACAATACAGTACAACTGGACCGTCGACAACTGAACAATCGACGACAAAATACACTACAACCGAATACAGTACAACTGAACAATCAACTACAAAATACAGTACAGCTGAACCGTCGACAACCAAATACAGTACAGCTGAACCGTCGACGACCAAATACAGGACAACTGAACCGTCGACAACTGGACTGTTGACAACAGAATACAGTACAAATGAACCGTTGACAACTGAACCGTTGACAACCGAACACAGTACAACTGAACCATCGTCGACAAAATACAGTACAACCGAATACAGTACAACCGAACAGTCCACAACTGGATACAGTACAACTGAACCGTCGATAACCGAATACAGTACAACTGAACAATCAACTACAAAATATAGTTCAACGGAACCGTCGACAACCGAATACAGTACAACAAAACCGTCGACAACCGAATACAGTACAACTGAACCGTCGATAACCGAATACAGTACAACTGAACAATCAACTACAAAATACAGTACAACTGGACCGTCGACAACTGAACAATCAACGACAAAATACAGTACAACAAAACCTTCGACAATCGAATACAGTACAACTGAGCCGTCGACAACCGAATACAGTACAACTGAACCGTCAACAACCAAATACAGTACAACTGAACCGTTGACAACTGGACTGTTGACAACAGAATACAGTACAACTGAACCGTCAACAACCGAATACAGTACAACTGAACAATCAACTACAAAATACAGTACAGCTGAACCGTCGACAACCAAATACAGTACAGCTGAACAATCAACGACCAAATACAGGACAACTGAACCGTTGACAACCAAATACAGTACAAGTGAACCGTCGACAACCAAATACAGAACAACTGAACCTTCGACAACCAAATACAGTACAAGTGAAAAATCGACGACCGAATACAGTACAACTGTACCTTCGACAACCGAATATAGTACAAGTGAAAAATTGACGACAAAATACAGTTCAACTGATCCGTCGACAACTAGACTGTTGACAACTGAATACAGTACAATTAAACCTTCGACAACTGAATACAGTACAACTGAACCGTCGACAACTGAATACAGTACAACTGAACCGTCGACAACCGAATACAGTACAACTGAACCGTCGACGACAAAATATCGTACAACTGAACCGTCGACAACCGAGTACAGTACAACTGAACAATCGACTACAAAATATAGTTCAACGGAACCGTCGACAACCGAATACAGTACAACTGAACCGTCGACAACCGGTTACAGTACAACTGAACCGTCGTCAACCGAGTACAGTACAACTGAACCGTCGACAACCGAGTACAGTACAACTGGACCGCCGACAACTGAACAATCGACGACAAACTACAGTACAACCGAATACAGTACAACAAAACCGTCGACAACCAAATACAGTACAACTGAACAATCAACTACAAAATACAGTACAGGTGAACCGTCGACGACCAAATACAGGACAACTGAACCGTCGACAACACAATACAGTACAACTGGACCGTCGACAACTGAACAATCGACGACAAAATACACTACAACCGAATACAGTACAACTGAACAATCAACTACAATATACAGTACAGCTGAACCGTCGACAACCAAATACAGTACAGCTGAACCGTCGACGACCAAATACAGGACAACTGAACCGTCGACAACTAGACTGTTGACAACAGAATACAGTACAACTGAACCGTCGACAACCGAATACAGTACAACTGAACCGTCAACAACAAAATACAGTACAAATGGACCGTCGACAACTAAAGAATCGACGACAAAATACAGTACAACAGAACAATCAACTACAAAATACAGTACAGCTGAACTGTCGACAACCAAATACAGTACAACTGAACCGTCGACGACCAAATACAGTACAACTGAACAATCGACAACCGAACACAGTACAACAAAACCGTCGACAACCGAGTACAGTACAACCAAACCGTCGACAACCGAAATCAGTACAACTGAACCGTCGACAACCAAATACAGTACAACTAAACATTTGACAACTGAATACAGTACAACTGTATCGGCGACAACCGAATACAGTACAACTGAACAAACAACGACAAAATATAGTTCAACTGAACCGTCGACAACCAAATACAGTACAGCTGAACCGTCGACAACTGGACTGTTGACAATAGAATACAGTACAACTGAACCGTCGACAACCGAATACAGTACAACTGGACCGTCGACAAGTAAAGAATCGACGACAAAATACGGTACTGAATACAGTACAACTGAACCGTCGACAACCGAATACAGTACAACTGAACAATCAACTACAAAATACAGTACAACTGAACCCTCGACAACCGAATACAGTACAACTGAACAATCAACTACAAAATACAGTACAACTGAACCGTCGACAACCGAATACAGTACAACTGAACAATCAACTACAAAATACAGTACATCTGAACCGTCGACAACCGAGTACAGTACAACTGAACAGTCGACAACCGAAATCAGTACAACTGAATACAGTACAGCTGAACCGTCGACAACCGAGTACAGTACAACTGAACCGTCGACAACCGAAATCAGTACAACTGAACTGTCGACAACCGAATACAGTACAACTCAATACAGTACAACTGAATCGTCGACAACAAAATACAGTACAACTGGACCGTCGACAACTGAACAATCGACGACAAAATACAGTACAACAAAACCGTCGACAACCGAATACAGTACAACTGAACAATCAACTACAAAATACAGTACAACTGAACAATCAACTAAAAAATACAGTACATTTGAACCGTCGACAACCAAATACAATACAACTGAACAATCAACTACAAAATACAGTACAGCTGAACAATCAACTACAAAATACAGTACAGCTGAACCGTCGACAACCAAATACAGTACAACTGAACCGTCGACAACCAAATACAATACAACTGAACAATCAACTACAAAATACAGTACAGCTGAACCGTCGACAACCAAATACAGTACAACTGAACAGTCGACGACCGAATACAGGACAACTGAACCGTCGACAACAAAATACAGTACAACTGGACCGACGAAAAAATACAGTACAACCGAATACAGTACAACAGAACCTTCGACAACCGAATATAGTACAGCTGAACAACCAACTACAAAATACAGTACAACTGAACCGTCGACGACCAAATACAGGACAACTGAACTGTTGACAACAGAATACAGTACAACTGAACCGTCAACAACCAAATACAGTACAACTGAACCTTCGACAACTGAATACAGTACAACTGAACCGTCGACAACAAAATACAGTACAACTGGACCGT